GGTCATATCGGGGACGATGGCTGAAAGTTAGGAAGAGGATGAGGTAGCTCGTCCAACAGCAAAATGCATTTTTTCTTAGAGAGCCTGCTCCTTTGCACCATAGTGGCGTTGGCGTTTTCCAGCAAAACAGCTGGTTAGGTTGTAAAATAACACGGTGGAGACAGAAGTGGAGATAGACGCCAGCGTTCACCCCAGAAGGGACTCGGCTCTCCCTTGGGAACACACGATCAGATCTTCCTTCTTACAAATGTGGGCACCCCCCGATGAGTGGGCGTGGTGAGGCTCATCTCCGGTGTATCAGAGGTGAAAGGACATAAGAATGACACCGGTCACAAGCTTTTACCAAATGCTCCTCTGAGCGTGACCCTAGATGGGACGTTGTCTAATCTAAAAACCTGAGAAGCTTCTGCCTTGTCATCTAAGTGTCCCTACATAGGAGCCCAACAGACCAGGAACAAAGCCAAATGAATCCTGGCCACGTACGTAGTCCAGAGGCCAAACATTCGATATTATGTACATATAAGGAAAAGTGACACTTAACTTAGGGTTTTCGAATATGCTCTATTCGCCATGGCTAATGACGTCCCTGTGCCCGGCAACAGCCTGAGAAAATCAGAGGGCCACCTAGAAGGATGCTGGACACACGTCTGTGTGAGGCATTTTCAGGAGCGTGATCTGATTGAACCTTCATAAAAATCCCATTTCACAGAAGACAACACGGAGGTGCAGGACGCATAAAGGAAACCCTGAAGCTCTGAGGGGACCGCTGCAGGGTGCCCGTCCTCCTCTCTCCTACCCTCCCGCCTGCTGGGTGGGGAGTCCGTGTCCCGGGAGTGAGCAGGGAACACCGTGCGTTAAGCGGGCAGAGCAGGTACACCCGCACACCTGCTACAGGTGAGAGGAGATTTCACGAATATCCGACGCCCGGGAGCTGCGGGGACAGGATGACAGAAGAGCAGCAGACCAGGACAGCCCTTTGCAGCCCAGGCACAGGGTGTGGCTCAGGGAAGGGAGAGGCCAGAGGGGCACCCTGAGTCCCTCTGTAACAAAAGAAGAGAGCTAGAGCGCGCAGGGCGCGCTGAGGAGGGCTGGGGAGCGGAGGTGGGCGTTTGCAGATGGTTTGGGGGGCCAGCCCTGGAGCACAGCGCCAGAACACATCTGAAAGCGGGGTGCAGGGCATTACGTTTATGGCTGCAAACAGGCCCAGTGGGGCCCAGACCCTCTTTTTCCTGCGGCCAGCAGGGTCCAGGAAGAAGTGTTTTGATAAGAAATTCAAAAAAATTTTCTGGGGCACCTGGGTGGCGCAGTCGGTTAAGCGTCCGACTTCAGCCAGGTCACGATCTCGCGGTCCGTGAGTTCGAGCCCCGCGTCAGGCTCTGGGCTGATGGCTCGGAGCCTGGAGCCTGTTTCCGATTCTGTGTCTCCCTCTCTCTCTGCCCCTCCCCCGTTCATGCTCTGTCTCTCTCTGTCCCAAAAATAAAAATAAAACGTTGAAAAAAAAAAGAAATTCAAAAAAATTTTCAAAAGGGGGCGCCTGGGTGGCTCAGCAGGTTAAGCGTCCGACTCTGGGTTTCCGCCCAGGTCATGATCTCGTGGGTTGTGAGTTCGAGCCCTGCATCGGGCTCAGCGCTGACAGTGGGGAGCCTGCTGGGAATTCTCCCTCTCCCTCTCTTTCTGCCCCTCTCCCACTGGCTTTCTCTGTCTCTCTCAAAATAAATAAAAAAACTTTTAAAAAACACGTTTTGAGGGGCGACTGGGTGGCTCAGTCAGTTAAGCGTCCAACTTTGGCTCGGGTCACGATCTCACAGTGCATGGGTTTGAGCCCCGCGTCGGGCTCTGTGCTGACAGCTCAGAGCCTGGAGCCTGCTTCCGATTCTGTGTCTCCCTCTCTCTCTCTGCCCCTCCCCTGCTCACGCTCTGTCTCTCTCAAAAATAAATAATCACTGAAGAAAAAAAAAAAAGAGAGAAAGAAATGGAAGCCTGAGGCTCGCCAGGCCGCACTCGCTGTGTTTGGGTCTGGAGGCTGCCCAGACGCAGACAGGCAGAGAGACAGGGAAACCCAGAATGGAAGCAGGCTCCAGGCTCTGAGCTGTCAGCACAGAGCCCGACGCGGGGCTCAAACTCATGAACCTTGAGATCAGGACCTGAGCGGAAGTCAGACACTTCACCGCTAATCGACGGAACCACCGGGCGCCCCAAGAGCCTTCCCATTTTCTTAAACATTAAAAAAAAAAAAACAACAACTTCAGAGGAAAAATGAACCCTCCAAATTCTGTGGGCAAAAAACTCTAATGAGCATTTACTCCCCCAAACTGACTCTCCCCTGCACGCCAGAAACTTCACATGAACTCACAATTCTCAGGATCAGCGGGTTCTTTCCTTTGCCCTCCCCGAGAAACATGTTCTGCAGCCACATTCGCTGGCCAGGTCCACCAGGGCCAGTGGCCAGGCAAGGTGACGTGACAGTGTCCCTCTTACTGTCCCTGTAGACTTGCCCTCGATGCCCAAAGCACTGCAGAGGAATCACCCCCCCCCCCCCCCCCCCCCCCCCCCATTTCGTCAATTCAACAAGTATTTATTGAGCACGGCTATGCGCTCAAGACATCGAGATAAAACAGGAAAGATCCGTTTCTGACAAATTCTGCTCTGAGGCAGGGGGGCTCACTGCAGTCAGTGAGCCCTCTGCTATATTTCCAGGGAAGTACGAGATCACTGAGCACTTCCAGGGGGTAAGAGAGTCACATTCCTCCTCCATGGCCAACAGCTAGGGGCAGTGGATGGAGCCTGGGCCCCGAGTAGGACACCTGCCCCACTCAACCTCTGAATGACTTTGATGAAGTCAGATGGCTACCTCTGAACCTCAGTTTTCTTACCTGCAAGATGGGAAGATAGTGCCTACTTTGCAAGATGGCTATGACTGTTATACTCCTTAGGCCTCTATGCCCAGCCCTCGTCACCTCGGCTTCCTTGGACCCAGCGCCGGACAGAGATGTGACCACAGCACGAGAGGACAGGATTCAAGATGGCAGTTCTCACCTTGGCTGCACCCTGGAATCACAGGGCGGGAGCTTGAAAAATCCCTGATGCCCAGGCCACACCACGGGCCGCTGAAATCGGACGCCCTGGGGATAAAGCCCTGGCGTCAGGTCTTTGTAAAGCTCCCCAAGAGATTCCAACGGGCAGCCAAGGTCAATAGCCGTTGATCCAGAAGGAAAGAGAAGTGCAATTATTTCTTTTCTATAGAGAGTTGGAGGAGTTATTATTGCTGTTAATTATAGTATCATGCCCTGTGCAATCTAAGGTTGACGAACTATAAACGTTGTCTTTATTCAGAAATTTATACAGTGCTAAATAGTTTCACATCCACGATTACATTGTGATCTTCAGAGAAATATTATTTTATTTTTTAATGTTTTTTTTTTTAATTTTTTTTCAACGTTTATTTATTTTTGGGACAGAGAGAGACAGAGCATGAACGGGGGAGGGGCAGAGAGAGAGGGAGACACAGAATCGGAAACAGGCTCCAGGCTCTGAGCCATCAGCCCAGAGCCCGACGCGGGGCTCGAACCCACGGACCGCGAGATCGTGACCTGGCTGAAGTCGGACGCTTAACCGACTGCGCCACCCAGGCGCCCCGTTTAATGTTTATTTTTGAGAGAGAGAGAGAGAGCACACGAGCGGGAGAGGGGTAGAGAGAGAGAGAGAGACAATGAATTAGAGGCAGGCTCCACCCTGTCAGCGCAAAGCCCGATGTGGGGCTCGAACCCACAAACTGCGAGATCACGACCTGACCCGAAGTCGGACGCTCAGGCGCCCACTGATCTTCAGAGGAATTTTAAAGGTGAAGAGACTGAGGCCCAGAGAAATTTACTGACAAGCAGAAGGTGTGAACACAGGTCCACGGTCAATGTCTGGGTTCAGACCCTCTCTCCTTCCACCCCGCCCCACCACCCCAGTCCGTCTCCGCGAGAAAGCTGTGGTCCAGACCAGCAGGCTGAGATCCGGACCCTAGGTCCAGATGCCCGTCTCCCTCTTCCCCCGGGTTGGTAGCACCCAGGCATCTCAGATTCTGCCCGGCATGGCTCAAGGTCCCTCCCCGCGAGCACCCCTCCTCTGCTGCTTCCCATCTTTGCACAGGCGTCAGAGTCTCCACCGACAGCCCCTCACCCGCATTTGGCAGGTGGAGTTGGCCACCCCCCAAGATGCCTTGTGAACCCGTCCATTTTCCATTAACCTGGCCTCCACCGCATGGTCATTGCGTCTCTCCGGGCATTTCCAATAACCCGCTGCTCCTCACCCTGCACCCCTCTCCCCTCCGGTCCCTGCTTCTGACCTGTCCCCCGGACCCAGTGAGGTCTGGGAGTGGGTCAGAGTTTCTTCGTGTAAAACAGCGATCGTTCTTGAGTGTCTGACCTGGAGCGTTCCACACCCAAGTGCGTGCACCCACACCCACACCCCCCACACACACACACACCTCAAAGCTGCCGGCTCCACGTGTATCAGACACTGGGACCGTCACGTGTGACAAACCCCTTTAGTAAAGGGCTTGAAGACACGCAGAAGTATGCAGCCTGCCTTCTGTTAGTTACAGTCATGGGGCCACAGGCAAGTTCTGTAACTGGTCACACGTCTCCCCCATAAAATGAGGAGGGTAACGCCCACTCATGGGGGTGCTGCGGGCATCGATAACGAACTAGACCGTGCATCCAAGCCTGGCACGCGTCACCTGCTGATGCAGAGTTGAGAAGGCCCACTCTTCCGGAAGGAGGACGGAAGGGCAGAGGTCTCTGCCCGGCCTCGCTCCGCGGGGGGACTTCGGCATTCACACCACTGTATCCCGACGACAGGCCGTGTGGCCAACCCACCCGCCACCCCCGTGAGGTTCTGCTGCTGGCCAGGACCCCCTCAGATAAGTGGCAGGGGCTGGATTCAAATAGTCTGTACCCCCCAGAGTCTGAGGGAGCGTGTTCCACGGGGGTTCGACTGATACTTTCCTTTTCAAGGGGATGAACAATCAGTACGTCCGCCGGGAAGTCTTCTGCGGAAACACCTGCCACGAGCTCAAGCGTTTCTGGGAACGGGAGATCGGCAAGCAGACCTACTACCGACAGTCGGAGGAATATCGCCTGGGAAAAAGCGCCCTGAGAAAGTACGTGGCTCGTTTGTCTTTTTTTTTTTTTTTTTTTTAACTATTCATTCGATTTTAAGAATAGACATTTATTTATTTACTTTTGAGAGAGAAAAGAGCATGAGCACGGCAGGGGCAGAGAGAGGGGGAGACAGAGGAGGATCTGAAGCGGGCTCTGCGCCGTCAGCCCGGAGCCCGACGCGGGGCTCGAACTCACAGACCGTGAGATCATGACCCGAGCCAAAGGCAGACGCTTAACCGTCTGAGCCACCCAGACGCCACTAAAAACAAAATAGACTTTATTCTTTAGGGCAGTTTTAGGTTCCCAGCAAAACTGAGCGGAAGATAGAATTCCCATATCCCCGGCCTCCCAGGCACAACCTCCCCGCTGTCAGCATCCCTGCCATGAACACACATGGGTGAAGCATTACTGCCCTTGTTTGCCTATTTTTTTTAAAGCAAAATTCATTTCCCCAGAAGAAGGCCAGATGGGCATCTTAGAGAACATCATTATTTTAATTTTCCCGGCATATGTTCCTGCCATCACCTATACTTACGGGCAGCAATTTTTTATGTTTGCTTTTCTTTTTTTTTTTTTAATGTTTATTTATTTTCGAGAGAGAGAGAGAGCACGAGAGTTGGGGAGGGGCAGAGAGAGGGAGACGAAGATCCGAAGCAGGGTCTGCACTGACAGCAGAGAGCCTGATGCGGGGCTCGAACCCACAAACCATGAGATCATGACCTGAGCCAAAGTCGGACGCCCAATCTACTGAGCCATCCAGGCGCCCTCGGGCAGTAGTTTTTAAAATTCTTCTACATTAACAAATGTACCCTTTGATCCGTATCTTTAGAAATGGAAAAATCTCCCCTCTGGCACCATTTCTAGTGCATGAGGGTCGCCCTAAATTTGGGGAGCAGGTCAGCAGATGAGCCCGTAAAGAGCAATCAAGCAAAGGAGACCGTGACCGATTCTCAGGGCTCGTCTGGGTGAAGACATGGGACACCCTGCGAGGTTCTCTGAGGGGGGCTGATGGGGGGTCACCCCTCTGCCGGGCATCCCCGAGGCAGCCAAACCAGTCCACCCAGGGCAGAGCGGCGACTCCCTTGAGCAGACCCAGGGCCGCCATGGCTGTGGGGACCTCGGCGGCTCACCACCCGCACGCGCCACCTCCACTTCAGAGCCAGTGAGGGGACAGGCCCGTCTGGGTCCTCCGTCCCCATGGAACAGCTCAGCCGCCGTATGTTTGCAGAGGGCACAGCTTGTGTATGGCCAGGGGGATCAGCCCGACGTCAGGGCCCGTGACTCCACGCTGCCAGTGCGTGCTTGCTGGGCCAACGACATGCACCAGTCTGCGCGACTTAGACTCGCTGTTGCCTTCCAAGCGCCCTCCTGAGTCCCAAGGGGAACCCAGCCTCTTGTACGAATGGAGAGCTGCTGGGCCTCATTCCTGGCCACGGGCAAGGGGAAGCGGGCTGTCCTCGCTGCTGGAGCACCGTGTTAGGGCGTCTCCTCCGGGGATTGTCTGAGAAGCTGAGGTGGGCGGTCAGTCATTTCTGTGGTCCCTGCCACCTTCCTTCCCCAGGCCAGGCCACTCAGCACGCCGTGCACGCGTGTGTCTCCCCCCCCCCCCCCCCCCCCCCGCGCCCCCCCCGGGGCCCGGGGGGGGGCCCCCCCCCCCCCCCCCACGCCGGGGAGCGCGCAGAAGGCATCGGGTGCCGTGGAACTGCCTAAGGAAGATGCAGAAAGTGAGGTGCACGCCGAGGGATGAGCAAACCGGCTCCAGTCTGTTAAAGCATGACAGGGGCACCTGGGTGGCTCAGTGGGTTAAGCGGGCGACTTCGGCTCAGGTCATGATCTCGCGGTCCGTGGGTTCGAGCCCCGTGTCAGGCTCTGTGCTGACAGCTCGGCGCCTGGAGCCTGCTTCGGATTCTGTGTCTCCCCCTCTCTCGGCCCCTCTCCCTGCTCACACTATTTCTCAAAAAAGGAATAAATGTCAAAAAATTAAAACATGACAATGTATATGCACAGTGTCCGTCTATGCAACTTAACGGAAGACCGCAGGGGGACGCTTTCTGGCTGGTGGGACGGCGAGACTCGAATTTGCTCATCCTTCTCCTCCTCTTCCCATTTGAACCCGGTGGCCTCCTCCAGAGGGTCTCTGCTCTTACCGGGTAATCCGTCTTGTCCCGGCACAAAATGGAGGAGATGGCCCGGTTCATTAGCCTGTTCCGAGGCCGGAACAGGATAACGTCAGTTCCTTCTCCCCCGCCCAACCCCCAGCCCCTCCCCCCCGCCCCCGCACGTGGCCACTTAGTCCAGGATTAAATACAGCAGAGACCAGACCCCAGAGGAACGGCCCCAGCCCCTGTGGCCTCTGGGTGAGCCCGCAGATCTCCCCGTGCCTTTATTTTCTCCTTATGACTTTTCCCACGGACACTAGGAGGAGAGGGCTGTTGGAGAGTCCCCGCCTTTCACCAGCGGGGAGCGGTCGGTTGGTAGTGTTGCTCAGAGTTCCACAGCCCTACTGAGGTCTTGCCTCTTGTTCTGAAACGTGGGTATTGAAATCCAGCTGTCTTCGCAGATCTGTCTATGTCTCCTAACAGCTCTGTCGCATTTCGTTTCGTGTATTTTGAAGCTCTGTTTTCGCACAAATGTTTAAGATCGTTACATCCTCTTGATAAATTGACCCCCTTGTTGCCAAACGACCCTCTTTCTCCTTGGTGATGTTCTTGGCTGTGAAATCTACCTTGCCTGATATTACACTCCAGCTTTCTTTGATTAGGGTTAAGATAGAATATTTTCACCCTGTTTCCGATTCTGTGTCTCCCTCTCTCTCTGCCCCTCCCCCGTTCATGCTCTGTCTCTCTCTGTCCCAAAAA